CTTTCAGGAGGAGCCACCCCATGCCAGAGCAGGGACATTGATGGGGTAGAGCTGTCACCCATGGGGACCTCACACTGGAGCAGGGGCACCCCAAGGGGCTGTGGCTGAGGGAAGAGCCCAGGAGGAGCAGAGGAGTAAGGAGCAGCAGAAAGAAACCTACCCCGAGCTGCTGCTCACCTTGGGGAAGTAGGGGGTGGCTGAGGGTAACGTGGCCAAAAACAGGGAGCACAGAGAGGTGTTGGGCTGCAGTTGAGCCAGGATGTTTAAAATGCCTTTATTTTTTGATACCCAAGTCAGTCACAAGGTTTATGTTAATTGGCGATATGTTACATTGTGAGATTCCCCAACTCCAGACTGTTTTGCAGGGGGGGCTGCAACTGCCTCCTGGCCACTGCTGTTGGGAAGAAGGGGATGCTGCCTTACCCTTCCCCCCAAAAAAATTTAGCCTTCTGGAGTGCAGCTTGACCCAGTCCCCAGCTCTGTTGGGGGCAGACCCCACCACTGACCCTCTGCCATAGTGTTTTTAGATCCATGAAGTACATTAGCATCAATGCTGAGCGTGTCAGATACATTTTATTGTACAAGCACCCCTCCCGCTCCGTGGGCAGCCGCTGCCTGCACTCAGAAGCTCTCACTTCTTTCCCTTGCTCAACTGGCAGCAGGAAATCCCACGCCAGGACTGATTCCCTGCTCGGCAGCGGCGCTGGTCCTCCAAACCACAGCTACCCCTTCTCAATCAGAGCCAGGAGGTGGCTGAGCGTGGGCAGGACGTCCTCGGGGGGCACCTCCAGCTCCTTGCCCTGCCCACCAGGCTGAAGCAGAAAGCTGTGCATGCCCACGGCGCGCGCTGCGCTGTAATCCCGGCTGTAGTCGTCCCCTATGTGAGCCGCCTGCTCCGGGGGGACCCCGCTCAGGTGCAAGGCTTGCTTAAAAATCCTCCTGTCCGGTTTGGCAAAGCCTGCGCTCTCAGAGGTGAGGATGAATTCGAAGTGGTGCCGCAGGTTGCACTGGGTGAGGATGTTTTCCAGCCGGTTATCGAAGTTGGAGATGACCCCCATGCGGAAGCCGCGCTGGCAGCACTGGCTCAGGGTCTCGCTGGCTCCCGGCAGCGCCTCCCAGTTGCGGGCGCTGCAGAAGTCGCGGTAGAGGTTTTCTGCCATCAGCGTTAGAAGCCCGTCTTCATGCACACCCGTGAGCCTGAAGGTCTGCTTCACAAGGTCCACCCACCACTGCTGGGAGCTCAGCCCCTGGTCCTGGCCGTAGTTGGGGAAGCGCTGGTTCTGGGCTCTGTACACCTCCTGGAAAGCTCGACCGAGAGCCTCTGGGTGCACCTGCACCCCGTGAGCCCGGGCTCTGCCATCAGCGTTAGAAGCCCGTCTTCATGCACACCCGTGAGCCTGAAGGTCTGCTTCACAAGGTCCACCCACCACTGCTGGGAGCTCAGCCCCTGGTCCTGGCCGTAGTTGGGGAAGCGCTGGTTCTGGGCTCTGTACACCTCCTGGAAAGCTCGACCGAGAGCCTCTGGGTGCACCTGCACCCCGTGAGCCCGGGCCTCGGCCGCATAACTCTCGCCCAGTGGCCACGCCGCAGCAGCGTGTCCTTCACGTCCCATGTTAGCAAGCGGAGCCGGAGCATGGTGTCAGGGAACCGCTGGGCTGAGGGAAACCTCGAATGGCCAAGAGGGGAGAGAAGGTGCAAGGTGGTACCGCTCACACCGGTTGTATTGGGGGGCACCCACTGGTGTCAGTGTCCCTGGAGGTGCTCAGGACCCCTCTGGGGCCTGCACCGAGACACGGCCTTGGATGGAAGGCCCTGTGCAAACCTCGGCGGGGCAGTCAACCGGGCCAAGGACAGCTTGGTAACCGCCCCCCTGCTGTGGCGGCTACAGCGGAGCCCTGTGTGGGGCGGTACC